ATTTTCTCCGCATTCAAATTAATCCTGAATGCCGGCCACTAAATTCATCGTTTTTTCGTCAACGTGTGTAAATAAGCATAAACAAATAACAAATAATACTATCTATATGTTTATGTTTATATTGTGATAATCATAAAGTATACTCATGATAATTTTAGTCACATTTTCTCATTAATTTATTTTAATAATATTTTAGAAAAAATCAAACAATTAAGTGAAATAATGTGATTCTATAATGAACCTTGGAAGATAAAAAAATAGGTACTTCTTAGTTATTGTGGCTTATCCTTTTTAAATCACTCCTATTTATAAAAATATACTCCTTCCGTCTCATTTTACCTGTGTTACTTTTCTTTTTGGATTGTCTCAAAATAAGTGTCATCTTTCCCTTTTTGGAAAGAAATATGTGGTTCATAACGAGTAAAGGGTCAGTTTGGTCCTCGAAGTTGCAAAGAAGGGGTCAAATAAGTCCTTATATAGAAGATTCTGTCCGGACGTGCCATTTGAGGTGGCTCCCGGTAGAATTTTTTGATGAAATTTTTTGAGCATCTTATTCATTAAGTCTAGTTTACTCATACCAAATTTCAGCTAAAAGTTCAATCGGCGAGACATTCTAATGAATTCTTGAATATAACTGCGCTTTTAACGGCACAGTTATCTTCCAGAATTCATTTGAACGTCTTCCCGATTGAATTTTTATCTGAAATTTGGTATGAGTAAACTAGACTTAATGAATAAGATGCTCAAAAAATTTCATCAAAAAATTCCACCGGGAACCACCTCAAATGGCACGTCCGGACAGAATTTTCTATATAAGGACTTATTTGATCCCTTTTTTGCAACTTCGAGGACCAAACTGACCCTTATCCCGGTTCATAACAGATGCTTTTGATTGTGAAGGTTTTTTGGGCGAGCAGTTTTGTACACACTCAGAAGATGATTTTTTTGGTCATGCTTCACAAAGTGAGAAGAGAACTCCTATTTCATCAACGGAGGATCTATGGGATTCTGATACAAATGAGAATATATGTAATAAAGCTTTGTTGCTCACGAGAGAAAATTGTCTACCTACAGAGAACTTGAATACGCAAATCAAGATATACAGAAAAAAGAATCAGCGATCGCATCTTATGAGGACTAGGTCTAAAACACGAATGGAGTTTTGATTTCATGAAGAAGTATTGGGGTTATCTAAGCAGGGACCTTATATTGTACTTTGGGTTGGGCTAGTTTTTCTAACTTTCTTTCCTTTTCTTTCTTCTTTGTTTGCTGTTTTTCTTTCTTTTTTCCCTTCTTGTAATTTCTGATTTCATCATTAATAAAGCTCTCTAAAAAAATGTGGTTCATAACATTTCACTTTACTATACTCAAATATCAACCACAACTTTTACTTTTTTAACCACTTTATTAATAATATATTGGTGTGCTAATACCAAATGAGACACATAAAATGGGACGAAGGTAGTAATTATCTTGCATGTGCATTTTGTCCTTTCCTATTTAGATATAATTGCATTTTGAACAATATTACATAGAGTTGTACAATCAAACACTCCTTCCATCTCACTTTGTAAAATATATTTTCCCTTTTGAGTTGTCTCAAAATAACGTTTTTCTAAAATGAACTCCACTAAATTGTTACTTTCTCACTTTATCGATTTATATATCATTTTACGCTTTCTTACCTTTTAGAGGTTAACAATCTAAAACGAGCAATTTATCTTTTACTCTCTTAGGATGTTTTTACTTGGACCGTTTTCAATCTCATACCAGACTAAATCAGACCAGTTCAGGTCATATCAGACCAGACAAGATCAGACTTGGATAATTATAAAATATCCAGATACCAGACATTGATCAGACTATACAAGACTCATTCAGACCAGACCAAAAAATTTCAATCCAAATAAACACATCCCCGCATAAATATGAGAACGTACTTGTATTTTATAATATAATGGGACCACGTAGCAATGTTTTTCACATGTTTGAATGCTTCAAAACTACTGTCCAACTTCGTCACAAACAACCAAAACTCACATGCTTCGTTAGTACACAAGTACTACGTATCAATATCATCATCGCCAGTTTGTTACAAGGTTTTTGAGCTCTGTACAAATTCCTTAAAATTTATACTCCCTCCGTAACATTCATATCTTTTTACTTTTTTTTTTAACGTACCATTTATATCTTCTCATTTCTAAATCTTCCCATCATACCCTCAATAATTTAAAAAATAATACACTATTACACCTACTTTCTTTGGATTTATCCTTCATTCCACCACATTATTTCACTATCTTCCCATCATACCCTCAATAATTTATATCCTTTAACTATTCTTAATCTCACCCACTTTGAAAGTGGGAAGATATATGGGATACGGGGGAGTATTCAATTACTACCATAATCTTATTTTTTTATCTGATTGATACGAATACTTTCTGAAAATGTTGTATCCATTTATCCAATGGCACCAAATATAATTTGTCACAATGTCTGCTAACAAGGACGTTAAAACGGCACATCACCAGTCCACATCGACATTTATGTATCTAACTACATCATAAATTGACGAATTCTAAGAAAATCAAACATTAACCCTAACTGTTAATCTAGTCCAAATATATCAATCCAAGTCTGTGATTGATTATCCCTCACATGACCTGATCTCGTGCGACCAACAAAAAATTAACTTTTTTTTGGCGCAACAAAAAATTAACTAATTGCACTAAATACTCAATCAAGAGTTGGGGTCACTATTTGGTTTATCTTGAAATAAGATACGGAGGGGCATAACAATTTTTGGTTCAGTTCGGTTTAGAACGGGTTGAAATACTCCCTCCGGTTTTATTTAATCTTCACACTTTGACTTCACACAAAATAAGAAAAGAAATTTGACTTTACTGTAGAGTATACTGTTGAGGCACTGTTTGACACTGTTTGGCACTGTTGAGACAATGTTTGACACTGTTTTGATGTAGATTTCTTTGCCAAAAAAGGAAACAAGGAAGTGTGAAGTTTATTTTAGACCGTCCCAAAAAGGAAAGTGTGAAGTTTATTAAAAAACGGAGGGAGTAATTATTACCAAACAAAAAACATACTGCGTACTATTTTTTAGTTTGGTTCAGTTCAGTTCGATTTTGTTATTTTTAATATAATATGGCCATAATAATATGGCAGTATTTTAAAGTAACAGAACTATCCTATTAAAGGCTGGTTTGCAACCACTTTAAAAAAAGCATTTCTCAGCTTTTGGCTTAAAAAAGCACTTATTTACCAAACACTACCCATTTTTTATTTTTCTCGGCTTTCGTGTCAAAAGTGCTTTTCCACTTTTTATACACCAAAAGCACTTATTTTACCAAACACTACCAACTTTTACTTTTCAAAATCACTTTTTTCTCAAACACTATCAACTTTTACAAATAATCACTTTTTCCAAATCACTCCAAAAGTGCTTTTTTTAAAGCAGAAGCTGTTGCAAACACTCCCTAAAGGGGGCTTAGTAAAAAGAAAGTTGTGTCACAATCCTAGTATCCTACTTCAGTGAACCTTTTTATCTTTATTAGAATTTGAGTAATACGACACCACTTTGATGGTGTTTGGATTTATAAAAGTGTTTCTGCTCCCTCATGAAACAAAAGTAAATTTTTGAGTGCTTCAACGAAGTTGAGAAGTACTTCTAGGAATTCCAAATTGTTCTTACAAGCAATTTTTAAAAGAGAAAAGGGGCAAATAAGGCTACGTACTAACCAAAAAAGGTCAAATGAGACCTTATTTAAGAGTCTCTGTCCGGCCATCGCTATTTGGGGTGGTTCCTGGTGGAATGTTTTGATGAAATTTTTTGAGCATCTTATTCAGTAAGTCTAGTTTACTCATACCAAATTTCAGCTAAGACTTCAATCGGGAAGTCATTCAAATGAATTCTTGAAGATAACTGTGCAGTTAAAAGCGCAGTTATCTTCAAGAATTCATTTGAATGCTTTCCCGATTGAATTGTTAGCTAAAATTTGGTATGAGTAAACTAGACTTAATGAATAAGATGATCAAAAAAATTTATCAAAAAATTCCACCGATAACCACCCCAAATGGCGAAGGTGGGACAGAGCCTCATAAATAAGGCCTTATTTGACCTTTTTTTAGTTAGTACGTGACCTTATTTGCCCATTTTCCCTTTTTAAAAATTGGAGACCAATTTCTGAAAAATTGTTGCTTTTAAAATTGAAGCATAATCTATTGGGAACACTCCTTAAATAAATAAAGTGAGTAATGAATATCACTCTAATTCATATTGTTCAGAGTTGACAATTCTATTAAGCCCGTCTTCCCTTGTTTTTTATTCTCTTTAGGGTAATTTCTTTTTTATTCATATATATAAAAAAGAAAATTGTCAAATAAATCATCGTACTATATTCAATAAGTCAACTAGATCCTCATACTTTAAAATCAGACCCTCAAACTTTAAAAAAAATCCAATTCAACAATTTAGCCAGTGTACAATGGGTTTCCCTTACATGGCTATTCTGCATGTCACTCTTTTAATTTTTCTCTTCTATGCCATCACCATCTCCCCATCATAGGAGCGGCCGGATCCTATGACTAGGGGTGGACCGGGACCATGTCAGGCCGGGCTCGGAGGGCACGAGCTTAAGAATTTCAAGTCCGGTCCGGACCGGGTTTTTACCGGGACCGATTCAGGCCGGGCCTAAACAGTATCGGGTCGGGCCGGGCTTCAGGACGGTACAGGACAATAAATTTAAAAAATAGTGCAATTGGGTCTGGCCAAGTCAGGCCCAAAAAATGAGCCCAAAGCCCACCCTTATAGCCCCTGGCCAGACCGGGCCTGAAAAGTAGCGGGCCGGACCAAGCATAAACAGTACTGGGTCAGGTCGGGCATAAACGGTACCCGGTCGAGTCGACCCGTCCCAGACCATCCCTACTTGTGACAGGTCACAACATCTCTCTAATCCCTTTGATTGCACAGAGAAATTCAATGACGAAGAGTGCAAGCAGATTTGTAAATTAAAATGATATGTATAAGCTTCCTCAAACACTCTTTTTTATGTTACTGTCTTGGGTGAGGAATTTCCTCAAACACCTTCAAGTGCAGAACTTTGTATTTTTCTTGGTGAAGAATTCTTCACCTATTTACAGACGCCTTCAAGTCCATAATCCATTCCTTTACAAAATCAATTAAATCTTTTTTTTTTGTATTGGAAACACATGAGCACCCAAAACACAAAAGGATTCCAGTGAAACACCATAAGCCAGGCAAGGTCTCCATCTCGAACTTCCCATCTCAGCCATGGTCACTGTCCAAAATCAGCTTCACCGTCCAAGATAGCGACAACCCGAGGCCTTTCAACGAGAGATGAAAGATATAGATCCAAGACGAAATGGGAGAGCTACCTGACAACGTGATCTTGAAATCACGAGTAGCAGGGAGGAGAGCAGTTTGGCAGCATCCATGGCACCATCAGTCGTTGAGGAAGATTGCTCAAGATAAAATTTATTGAAAAAATAGAAAAACATTAAAATAAAAGCCACATGGATACCCGCATATGTAGGTAATCGGAAAACCGAAGGTTTACCGACAGAAATGAGCAATTGACATTTTTTTTCAAATTTTGAGGGTTTAATTAATTAACTTTAAAGTAGTAGGGCGTCATTGACTTATTGAACAAAGTAGGACGAAATATGACGTGAAAATTTTAAATTTTTAACCGAATCTGATTTCCAATATAAAACGAAACACACAAGTGTATAGAATGTTTAAAACTAAGAAATTATATGCAGGCAAAGTGGTGAAAGCTTTTCCTGCCTGACCATAGAGGTGGGAACACAAACCACTAAGATGATATGTGAAATTGGGATGTTCCCATACACCTCCATTAAAGTTAAAAATGTAATTTGAGCTATTTAAATACAAACTTAGTTACACACGTACTACTGAAAAATGCGATATGATCTCTGTTCTGATGTATATTGGATGCATTATGGCCATACCTTAAAGCAAAAGGAACATCCGGAAAATGAGTAGGGTTGAAATAAGAGTCCCTCCAAGTAGACAACATTGAAGAGCTACTCCTCTTTTTCTGGGGCTCAAGAACCATAAGTAGTGCAGTGTTAACTCCAAAATAAATTCACCATCAAGAAAATATACCTGGACGTTGTACAGAAAACGTGTATGGTAAATGATGGGTGTATATTAAGTATGTAACTACCTGAGTGCAAGATTGCATCGTGATTACAAGATCAAGACAAATGTAAGTGTATCAAAATTTGGTATAAGGTTGATGCGTATTCTAGAAAATAGTGAGCAACCAAAAGTGAGGTTGAATGCAATGAACCATAAACCTTGCCCTTGCTAATATGAGCTTAGCCCAACTTGTTAAAAGGATAATAGCATTCTACAGTTTTACAAATGACCAACCACTCACTTAAAGATTTATTCTTTCTCATGTGACTTCAAGAAGAGCTTAGGAAACTTATTCACAAGTACCGAACACATGATACACCACGAGATACGCAAATGGTATTCTTTGCTGAATATGAGGTAAGTTCAATAATAATCAGTATTTTGATGTCATAGGACTAATTCGTTAATACATCTTAATACTGCGAAAAGGATAAACAATCATTTCTTTACAGACAGCCATCAAGCAAAAGCTATATCCAAATACACTCTTTTCTTCATAATTTTCCTTATTAGCTTGTGATAACTAGTAAAGAGTGAGTTGCAGTGCTATTCTTTCAAGTTTCAGTATGACAAATAAACTGTTTCAACTTCTAACATTTAATTTGTATGAATCAGAGTAATTTAACAGACAAACATTTATTTAATTCACGTAGATATCCTGTGAATGCACCAATATATCAACACCGATGACAGAGGTTATCTGAATACGTACCGGCAAGCTATTGAGAAGAGCAAGTGTGAGAGAGACATGAAACATAGACATCAAAAACTTTTCCAGTACACTTGGAAAATGAGCACCAAATTTAGTAGGCCAACGAGGCTGATATGAAGTTGTATGAACTGAACCCAGCATTGATGCCATATCACCAATAAATACAAAACTTTCAGAGCATCTTATGTCACCAATATCAGAGTTCGTATCTTCTAGAAAACTAGTTCTTAGAAACTTCTGACATTCTGGCGTAAAAGGCCTTATATATGTGATCTCAACCCATGCAACACCAGGCATTAGGAAGGGAGCAACGCAAGATTCTTCCTACATCATCAATGCATTTGACAATTACATTCCTCAGTTGTTATTTTAGACGGATAAACAAACTTATCTTGATTAAACTTGAATTCCATACTTGTGTGCACAAGCAGCTGCTTCTATTTTTTGAAGCTTTTGCCCAACCATCTCCACATTTCTTGAAGTCCAAAATATCCTTGGCAAACAAGCAATAGATATTTTCCACGTGCCAATCTTCTGACAATCTCAATTCCTTGCATGGTGCTGCTACAAAGTCTATAAGATCATTTGGGCAAATCGTTTTATTGCCTCTCAGTTGAACATGAATTCTCTTTTCAAGCAACGAATAAGGAACACAGTAACCTTTTGCGCTACTGGTTTTATAGGCACTGTAACTGCTTCGGTATTCCTGCTCAGTTATTAAACTACCGATCTGAAGCCACTCTTGGACATCATTAATGCGAGTACCATCAATAGAATAGATCACATCATATGAAGACAGGTATCTAGACAGTGGTGATTTTGAGGCGACATGTAAAACCTATTCCAGTTTAATTAATACGCATCATTAGGCATTACCTGAAGATGATTGAGGAAACATGTGTCTATCTTACCAAATTATAACATAAAAATGCTCTGATTGATTACCATGAGTCCTTCACCGTGTATGTAAACAGGAAACAAGATTACTGGTAGGATGAACAATGAAATGGCACAAAAAACACAAAGCTGCAAAAGGAAGAAAAACTAATTAGTTGAAAGCGGCAGAAAATTGAACACTTGCAGATTCCTAAACATGTATCATGCACTTACTCCTGCATTATGCCAAATTCCAGCACAGTATATACGAAGAGCAGCAGATTTAGGTATTGCCTGCAATGTCTCATGATTAAATGCCACCAGAGCTCCTGGAAATATTACTGCCAAAAATACAGCAATGTACTCCATTTGTATGCCCTCACTGTGGAACAGAAAGATGGTATCTAAATTATCTCTGGGTAATATATATAACCTTCAAGACAGTACTTCAGAGAATAGGAGCACAGCACTTTTGAGATCAATACTTGACTTGTACCCATGTCAGTATTACTATGTCCTTGGTAAAACTACTAAGCATCAAGCTAGCAAAGTCATATGTTTCAAGCAATGCAACTCGGCTTTATAATCACTTAATCAAAACAAAGTCCCAACAATAATACACAAATACACGATGCATTGTTTTGTAATGGAATCCATAATCACAACATCATTTTGTTTACTAGCAAACATATGGACAGTTCTGCTATGAAAATAGCTGCCTTCTGAAGTAAACTAAAATGTATCCTCATTAACACAACTCAGAGCAGTAATAGAAGTACGAAATTTAACAAGCTAACAAAAAATACACAAATAATTAGAAGTAAATGAAAATTATTAAATTAATGATGCATTATTAACCAGATGTCTCATGAGTCATGATTTCTTCTAGCTATAATGTTTGTTACTTTTTTCATACAAATAAATGCTTTAAGCCACGAAGCACGGAAGCAGTAGGAAATGAAGATGCAACTAATGCACATATAGAATGGTCTGGAGGGTGGCAATGGGTACCACCTGCCAATGAGGCAGGGGAAATATGACAAGGTAGTCAAACAAGAAGAGGAAGAGGGGAGGAAAGAAAATGACAATACACTTCGTCATTTGTGAAAAACTGAAACCCTTTAACTACTGTGGCATCTTGAATTCTTGGATCATGCTCAACACGAATCTGAATCCACTCCAATCAATATTAGGATTTGAAACCGTGATGGTAGGACTTGGTGGGAGTAAGAATTAATTACATTGAGTTCATTGGATGACATGAGAGCTTGAATGTTCAGCCTGATTCAAGCAATGTTTGGTAATATGACACTGTTTATATGAAAACAGAACAACAGAACATGGCAACATACCAATTTGTGGACAGGAAACTTCCCATGCTGGTAAATATCATAAAGACTTGGACGGTCTTATTTCGAGTGCGCTTACTATTTTGAGGCACAGTGTAAGTGTTCGCACTCGATTAAATATATGTAATATTATAAAATCAAAACAAATACCATGTTTATTGCATTGAACCAGTGAATTAAAAACACTAAGATGACTTAACCTTGCAGCAGCAAGAGCATGCCCAAGTTCGTGAACCGATACAGATATAATCGTAGATATACACAAGTATCCAATGCCATTAAGTGAGATGGCAAGCCTGAAAGCTTCACAACAAGCAACATTTAGGAAGCTGAAATAAGTGACCCTAGAAAAGTAACAAATAAAGATATTTCAATTACAAGTTTGATTCTCTGGCAACACAGACATCAATGTCAATAGTTATCAATCGCTACTAGGGAGCTCGGATATTACAAAAACTGAACATGGCTAAATGCCATTGATTAATTTATATTAGCTTAGTTGGCTATCATATTCATAGATCAACCTATTAAGTCACAAGCACATAATTTCAAGCCATGTATACCATGAAGTTGGTGATACGAATAGCCAAGAGTTCACATTATTTTCTTTTGATATGCAGATATATTTAGGGATGAGGAACCTTGGGGCACCGGTTATGGTGTTGCCATGTGACCGAGAGGTCACGGGTTCAAATCTTGGGAGTGGCCTCTAGTCAAGATGAAAAGGGAAGGCTTTCCCCTTATACACCCTTGTGGTGGGACCCTTCCCTGGACCTCCCCTGCAGGGATGCTGATGTGCACCGGGCTGGCCTTTATGCAGATACGTTTAGGCTTAAACAACTGATATATGATTGACACCGAAACTCTGTAACATGCTTTTATTCAAAGCTAAACGATTACACAAAGCTAAAACATTCTCCCTTAAATCGAAGTGACAATTGTATTGCATATAGTTGTACATCATAGATGGATATTTTATATTTACAAGATTAGAGCTATGGCGGTTCAATCGAATTTTGGTATGTAAGGCAGCACAGTAATGAAACCCCACACATAAGAGTTGAATGGCATAATTCTTTTTTCTGAAATAGCGTATGATTCTTTGATTGCCTAGAAATCCAGACATTATACAAAAGAACTTTAGGCAGTAAACGATGAGGACAATAGAACCCTGACAGCATTGAAGTCCACAAATACCGATTTTACATAAATAAATGTTTTTAAAGTTTAATTTGACAGTGCAGCAAACCTTTGGAGTAAAAAGTCTAAAGACTGAATTTATGAAATAGCATAGGTACTACAGTGTAAAGCTCATAGAATACAACTTTAGTGTTGACAGAGGTGACAGAACTATGAAACCAGAGTAAGAGCGACAAGACAGCCAGTTGTGGATAGAATGAATATGGCTTCGGAATGAAAGTTAGGGAGGTGGTTCACAACACATGGTCATGTGTAAACATGACATCAGGAAGTAGAGAGTAACATTAACATTTAGTTACAGAATACGGAGTCTCATGTGCTCATTATCATCTTGGCACTATGGTTAGCAGTGATCTAGTAAAAGATAGGAAATAATTTGCTCTTACATTTTTTCTTGCCACAAGAAGTTTATTGTACAGGATGATTCAAAATCAAGAAGAACAGGAATATAAAGGTATAAAACACTACCTACCTTTAGAAGAAATGCCAAATAAGGAGCCACTTAAAAGAGAGCTGAATTGGCCCTCCTCATTGTATGGGTGCAGAATTCTGCTTAATTCCCAGAGAAGAATCTGACAGTATCATTTCCAAATAACACAAACCACTGTGGTTAGATTTAATGGCAAAACATATAGAGGGACCGCGGATGTTTCATCCATTCTTTTCTCTTTTCAAATTGAAATATAGAAACTGAATTAGAGACTAACCAGAGTCACTGCAAGCAAAGCTGTAGAACTAAAGCCAACCCCCATGGCAAACCAACATCTCAAGTACCTGATGAAGATAGGATAACATTATGAGTTCTGAAAGGACATAACTGTCAGCGAGAGTACTAACTACTAACATAGTCAAATTGTGTATTATGGTATTACCATACTTGTAAATTAGTAGGTATGGTGTAATTGAGAAACTTAGTTAATCACACTATTAGTACTGCTCATTATAGGTATACTGTTCAAAAGGTTGGCAAAAATAAAGGGTTTGCAACTATATACAGCTATTCACTCGATAAAATATATTGAACACACTTATTACTTTCCATAAATAAAAACTTAAGGAGTTATAGTATCGCATTATCACGTCCATGTGAATATTAATTAAAAGTCCCTATTTATGGAAACTAATCTGATATTAAATACTCCCTCCGTCCCGCAATTATGTTCCACCTTTCCTTTTCGGGATGTCCCAAAATAAAGTTCCTACTTCAACTTCTTTCTATATTTGGTAAGTTATTATTATTCAAATACCCTTTTACCCTCACATCACTTCATTGAATTGATGTGTGTTACCTCATTTCACTATTCATTTACCCCTTTATTATACCCATTTGGGTACTACATCTTTGAATTACCCAAGGGCATTTTCGGAAAGCCAACTTTATTTCCTATTCTACCTAAAAAACCATGAAGTCAAACCAGGAACTTTATGTCAGGACGGAGGGAGTATATCTTATCCTATGTACATGGGTGCATCTGATAGATATCCCCCAGAGATAATTCTGATACATGAAAAGAGTTGAACATTCACATTTATCTGAAGCCATGGTCCTGCCACAGAGAATATAACAAAAGAAAAAGAATAACATAACAGGAATCTGTACCTAGAGTATCGTCGTCCAAATACATAGAGAGGTTCATTCAACACACAGAACTTGAAGTCGCAGTACCTGTACGCATTAAACTTACAATGGAGAAAACACGGTAGGAGAGGCAACAGGCATCCTGAGCTATGTGCAATGAGATTATAGTGCTTACCAGCACGATATGATATTGGAAATACGAGCCACACTCAAGGGCAAAACAGTTTGACTGTTTTGTCCTCTCCCGAGCCTCCTCATTCTCCTTCCTTCCATCTGATGATCCTCACAGTTGATACATTAACCCTGTTTAGATGAGGAGTACATAGAGAGGTGTAAATAATGGAAGTGTAAGCAAGTAAGATACTAAGATTACGTGATGGGAATGGAAGGAAGTCTAAGTAGTTAATTTAACCATAACAAATAGAGTAGTGAAAATGTGTAAAGTACAGATAAATATTATGGAAATTATGCAGGGTACACTGTGGTATTATGTTTTCAATGTGGGGCATTAATTCTTTTCTACTTACATGGTATGGTACTACTGGAATTAAGTGAACTATACACAACACATCCAAATTTAATAAATTATATCATAATCTGAATTTTTAGATAAATTTCGTATTCTCTTTCTTGTATAATCTAACTCTAAAGTTAATTTTTTTAAATTTAAAACAACAAAATGCATTATTAAGCATTACAAAATGAAAAAAAAAAAAAAAAAACATTAAGCACCATATCATTCTTTACCACTCTAATCCACGTCAATCTAGGTCGTCCTCTCCCTGCCTCTCACTTTCTAAGAAGTACATCACTCGGTCTTTTATGAACATGGAAGACCCACCTATCTTCAATGGGTGCTTCTAAATTAAATTAACAAATTTATCATGTCACCATCAATTAAACCAGTCTTTGTAATTTGGTGGGTTACTACATTTCCAGAATAAGCTCCAATGGGATTCGTTTTTACTCTTTGTTTTCACCAAATACAAAGAGTAATATCATAGACCCCAGAATATTAAAGGTTAACCTACAGATAATCCCTCCATCTCAATTTAAGGTTCCCGGTTACCTTTTTAGGACATCCAATATCAACATTCTATTTCCTTTTTGGTAAAAAAAAAATAAGGGTGTTAATTGTTAAATACTTAAATGATAATTCTATCATTATATTTTTAAATAACAACTCATAATAACATCACTATTCATCTACGCGTTCTACACTCATACTAGTTCCGCCCACTACTAGTAATACTCATAAATATTCCTAATTTTGATTCAACTTCTAAGGCATGTATATAAAATGAAAGTCTGTTTCAGTCTTTGGATCTTACCTCTTTGACGTGCTACGTAAAGGTGACGAGGCAAGGATAAATCTGGGTGTTATTTTCCATGGAAACAATGAATAGGATCAGCTATGCCGCCACTTAGATATGTCTGTTTGGCCCGGGGCGGATCTAGCCATTCAATCCAGCGGAGGCCAAAAAATTCATATACATAAATAATTTGAATTGCACTATACTATAAAGGCAAATCATCATCATCATTACCCCAGTGCTGCAAAGGCTCCCATCTATGGTGGGGTAAGGGGGGTCGGATGTACACAATCTTACCCCTGTACTAAAGCACAGAGAGACTGTTTCCAGATGACCCATAGTGAAAATCGCATCAAAAATTGCATTGACTGATCGCTGCTTCATTACAAAGAAGCGCAAACAGTTTAGTGAGCATTTTGCTTTATTCCATCATATTTCTAAGCCAAAAAATAATGTATTTGGCTCCATTGAAATGATGGAGCCAAAAAATAATGTCTTTGGTTCCATCATACTATAAAGGCAAATAACATCATAAATTCATAATTTTTCTCTGAGGATTTTCACAGACCGATATCACTTGAATGACTTGATTATGACATTATACTATTATAGTCAATTTTGAAGAAGATGTCTTTTTCTACATAAACAAGAAGTCTATCATTGAGCCAGTCATCACTCGTTGGATTGCTCAATCAATCCTTCATGATATTCATTACGGAATTTTTTTTTCAACACTAGAGGTTGCAAGACGAAGAATCAATGCCCGAGTCAACAGCTAGTAATCTCTTCATTAGTTTTTCAACTCTACAACAATTCACCACATGATATGATAATTACTAAAAAGGTCACCACAATTATAGTAAAGAATTGGGGTTCATACTTACAACCGCCAGTATAATATTGGAATTAAAACTAAACAATGGGATTGATACTCACGAATCACCAATCACAATCTTATCAATGCAATTGAGAACCTGAGGAGGAAGTGGTGTACCGAGTGATGAAACCAGATGAAAAGAATATGATTTTCTTGGGGAAAAAACGTTACCAATCAATTATTAATATATCCATAAAATATCAGCTAAAAAACAGGTCTTATAGTCTTATTGTCGGTCACAAAAAATTACTCAAAACTAAAGCTAAAAAGGTACTCCGTATACACTAAAAACTAAAATTAAAAAAAAAAAAAAAAAAAAAAAAAAAAAAAAAAAAAAAACTGAAACTAACCTAAGGGACGAGCGCAGTAGCGCGGGTGTTAAGCTCAGCTTGTAGTCAGAGACAACGATGCAGAACGACGGGAGGTGTCAAGCAGCCGAGGAATGGGGCAGGCGATGGCTTGCGGGGTGCGGGCAGCTGTGGATGCTCAACGGGAGCTCAGAGGACGAAGAGAGGTTCGGCGCGTGCGTTGCTTAGCTGATGTTTGGGCCGAGTCCGAATTTATTTTTTACTCCGTATTACAGTTGGGGGGCCTCTTAACAGCCCGTGTGCCTCTTAACTCCGTATGCATATGCTGCTAGTATCTTTTACAGTTGGGCCTCACTATCTATGAAAATGTTTGTATTTGCATCAAAAGTACTCCTAATTGCTCCATATAGAGCTAACTAGCGTTTCGTCGCGCAAGACGCGAGAGCCTTTGCCCAACATTGAACAAATTTTATATGTGATATTGTTGTAAGATATAAACACTTTCATTGAACAAGCCAAAGAGTTGTTGTTAGTAAAATATATACTTCCTAGCTCCATTCTTTAATAGTTGCAATATTTTGATTTTTGTTATATTCACACACCTTACTTTGACCATAAATTTGTACTAATATATACTCCGGTATAATCAAATTATTTTGTATAAAATGTTATTAAATTTTTATTAATGCGAATTTCCAAAATATTACGGAGTAACTTTTTATAATATTTACTAATATGTAATCAAATATAATTACAGTTAAAACTATATGTTGGCAAATGTGAAAGTCAAATTGTTGCAACTATCAAAGAACGGAGGATAGTATATATACTTTGTACTATATTAAAATAGTACTAACTTTGTTCCACTAATATTGGGACAATAGGAGGTGACACGATTATTAAAAAATGGGTTTATATGGTTTATATTTTAAATTGATAAAGCAAGAATATAGTAAGAATGATTTAGACTCATACAAATTTTATCAAATTTGATATGAGACGATCTTAATGGAACGAACCGAAAAGGAAAAATGAGACAATCTTATTGGGACCAATAAAATGATATAGAGAATAATATATGTAGTACCCTACTTTCATTATACTTCGTATTTGATATTGCTTGAACTAAGTTTTAGTAAGATATACTCCATAGTATTCAAGTTGACATCCTGATGTATAAAAAACCTTAAATTAGCAACAGGGGAAAAAGTAGACTTAACGGAATCTTAAGTTATAAACGTTAGTTGGAAAAAAGTAAGGGCAAAAAGGTCATATTAAAAATTGGGTTTGATTTTCTATAAGCAATGTACAACTTTTAATGAATAAAGTGTGTTGACACAAGTTAAGGGTACCAACCATCATTCACAATTATAATTTTGTTAGAAACGAGGGTGAAATTCAAAAATAGGATTTGATATGTTTTTTGGGCTTTTGCCTTCAACAACATCAACAACAACAACATCCAAACCTTAGTCCCAAACGATTGGGCTTTTGCCTTCAATATTACTAAATTAAAGCCACTTTCCTAAAGTGTGACCATTTTTCAAAAAGGCAAAAAAGTGACTAAGAAGGTCATATTATTTGAAAAAAACATATTATCACTGTCAGATTTATCACTGTCAGGGTTGATGTCAGATTTGAAAAAACATATTATCACTGTTAGATTTTATGTCATTGTCGGTGTCACTGTAACCACTGCCTATGTCATTATAGCCACCGCCCATGTCACTGTAGCCACCGCCGGTGTCACTGTAGCCATCGTCCATGTTACTGTAGCCACCGCATGTGTCACCGACACCATGGAACATGTCACTGTATTTGTTTTCGTTTAGTGACACAACCCACCTTAGTGAAATGAATGCCCCGCCGATGAAGTCACTGAGCACCACCATAGCCGGCCGGCACAACGGCGGCTGTCCCCGCTGCCTCTGCCCTACCCCACCGCATCACCTCAGCCCAGCCCTCATCACTCCCGTCGTGCCCCACCCCATCAGCCTAGCCACGCCCACCCCACAAGCCCTGCCCCACACCACCAGGGCCCCGAGCCCACATCCACCAGCCCCTGCACAATTGGTGCCCAACACAACACCCCCCCCCCCCCCCCCGTGGCCCTTCAACCAGTGCAGCCCACCATTTCATTCGCTCATACCCCCAATCCCTGCCGTCGCCTTAGAAACCTTAGATGTCGACCTTGTAGCTAAATTCTAGCTGCAGAACAGTCTACGATGGTCGCAGATCTGAAGGTGATCGCAGGTCTGAAGGTCGTCGCCGAACAGTGATCGATCGATTCCTTTTCAAAGAGTAACTGCATCTCATCTTCTCCTTGTAGAGCCTACTCCACCGCATGGTGCTTCCACCGCCTTTGCCTTCATCGCCTCCGCTTCGCCGCTTTCGCCATCCACCATCATCGACTTTATTTTCCTTCGGATTACAGGTTTTTCTGTTTTTCTTCGTCTTCTCATTCTTATTCTCCTTCTCCTTCTACTTTTCCTTCTCCTTCATCTTCTTCATATTTCTATTCTTCTGTTTTTCAGGATTTTGACATGGATTTTGCCAATTTTCATACTTCTATTTTCGTATTTCTAATTTCTTATTTCTTAGTATTTGAAACATTCTGATTTTCTGGAGTTTTGGATGATTGCATACGATTTTGCCATGTTTATGGCAGAAATGTACACTGACAATCATATTATGGCAAAAACGTTTTATGTAAATTGGCTTTTCTGATTCTTTTTCATTAACTTCGTATTTGTAATTTACAACTGTGTTAGCGTGTTTATTCAATTACAATTTGGATTTTTTCGAACATTTGGTTATTCATTTCGTGTTTTTGCCAATATATGACAGCTATTCCAAGATAAATCTGCCAAATCTTTGGCATATTTGAAATCCTTTTCATGGAATATTTCAAATAAATCTCCGATATTAAATCTGTCAACTCTATGGAAGTTTTTTTGAGCCAGAGATGTGACTGTGCTCGGAAGTCAAGTTTCCACCAATGGTGATCGGAGGATGGCGGCAACGGCGGTGGATGATGACTTTAGTGTGGGAGGCGGCGACAGGCGGCGACAAGTGAAAACTGCGTTGAGGCTGGCTGAAGTTCTCGTGTGAAATTTTAGGGTTTTGATTAAATTTATTTTTACATTTTTTATTTTAAATTCACTTAAAACTGAATGGGAACATTTTTGTACAAATAGGTGGTTTTAGCCTTTTAGATCCTATGAAACATAGACTCCTTTTTTTGGTCCTATTTGTGCACACATAACTTGTTTTAGTCCTAAATAGATAATTAATGAAAGTGTTTAATAGTAAAGGTCGATGATGTTTTAGAAAAAATAATTGTGGTGGAAAAGTTAAAATGGGAGCATTTGATAAATTAGTGATTTTTGTTATGATATTTTATGGAAGTACCAAACTATGTAAAGCAGATACATTGCTAAAAAAAATAGATTTAGCATGGACTTAATTTCATTTTTAAACACTGGATTTATGTAACTTTTCTCAATACAAATTTGATTTTTGAAATTCAACAAAAATTTTAGTATAATTCCTAAAAATGTAAAAAGTTACTAACACCGATTTATGTTGGCAATTTTAATAGAAATAATGGCCGGGTTATGACTTCTGACTTTTCAATATCCAAATATATGACCCATTAGCTAATTTCCACAAAAGTGAGCCGTCCATTTACTTTATCCCTTCGTTGCACGCGAAACCTTTCTTCTCCCCAGCAAGCGGAACCTCAACGCTTTCATCCGCCGACATGAAGCTGTTCCTCGACGCCGCCGGGTCTGACTGGCTGCTCCGCGCTCTCTTGGTCGTCTCGCAGCTGCCGCTCGCCATCCCTGTCGCTTTCCATCTTCTTCTCTTTCTTTAGTCGGCGATTAGGATTGGCATCTCCCTGCGACGACCTCTGCAACTATGTCAATGAAGATGACGGCGATTAGGGATTTTAGGGTTTCCAGATTAAGGATCTGGCTGGGGCTTTGCCATCCCAGGCACTTAACGGTCTGGCTTTGTTTCAGACGGCCAGATCTGATCCGTGTGAATTGGGTCGGGAGGTGGTGGCTAGCAAGAGGTAGGGGAGGTGGCTGGGGGCTATGGAGGGACTGAGGAGGTGGCTGGGGGCTAGGGAGGGGCTGGGAGGTGACTGGATCTGGTGCGGCGGTTGGCGATCGCGGGCTGCGGCCGCCTTAGGATGACGGGGTAGGCTTTGAGGAGCAGGGGAGGGATGGGAAAGGGGGACACCAGAGATGGTGTAACTGGCCGGAGACGGGGCGTGTCACTGGCCGGAGATGCGGCATGTCACTGGCCGGAGACGCGGCGTGTCACTATAATGTTGTCACTATGAATGGTGGGGGTAGTCACTGTGGTCCGGTGACTGGTGGGCAGGCAGTCACCGTGGCCGGCGGAGTCACTTTGATGACAGTCACTGTGGCCAGAGTCACTTTGGCCGGAGTCAGTTTGACGACAGACACTGTGGCCAGAGTCACTTTGGCCGGAGTCACTTTGGCCGGAGTCACTTTGACCGGCGGCGATGACGGCGGCGACGGTGGCGGTGGTGGCGCCGGCGGCAGCAGCAGTGGTGGTGTTGGGGTCTAGGGTCCGGAGGTGCTGTTGGCTACAATTGTACTCCGTATAAAAAGAATATTAAAAAAATAAATATATGATTAAGTATTTAAATGACTTTTAGTCACATTTTGGGGAAAAATTAAAACAACTCACTTTTTTATCTTTTTCATTCATTTTAGTAATATTGGAATAAAAAGGCCATTTTAATATCACGTTGTATTGTAATTACAAGCATTGGACCGACTTTATTTTTTAACATTTGCTGAGCAAAAACATTGAAAAGAAAATATGCTCTGTAAATTGAATAAAGTAATGAAATAAGAAACATTGGATTTCTAATAAAAAAAAAGGGAAAAATGGAAATAATCCAACCTTTTAGTAGTCTTCTTACAATAGTCCCACATTTTTGTTATTCAAGAATAAGCCAACCTTTGCACCCCATCTTCATTCACTGGTCCCTGATCGGTTAATGACCTGCTATTCCAAGTTATTTTCTTATATTTGCAAAATATTATCTTTGTGAAATGTGAAATTTATAATACAATGGTTTACAAAGATAAAAAAATAACTTGGAATATCATGTCATCAACCGGTCAGGAACCAATGAATGAAGATAAGGTGCAAAGGTTGGATTATTCATAAATAACAAAAAGGTAAGACATTGTAAAGACAACTAAAAAGTTGGATTATTAGTTTTCATTTCAACAAGAGATACAAAAACAAAATT